CTTAAAATGTTTATTTCAGATATAAGATGAAATTAATGGCTAACCATCTTCTCAACAGGTCTGTTTGTCTAATACAAACCTAAAAATAGTTAAGTATTATTTTAAACTGTGTAAATATTACATAAATCAGAGGCAGCTTGTAATGTTTAATAATTTGCGCTAAATTGTATCACTCCGTATAGTACGATATTTTTATTTCTTGTTTCAAGTTTTATTCATTTAAAGACAGTATCAATTTTATATAAAATAATCTTATATCTGCCCCTTTTTTCCAAAAAAAAGAAAAAAAATCTACAAATAAAAACAACTTATCAAGCAACAATTTGTATGAATACACATTATACTATTTCATATTTCTTCAACAAACTAACCAGTTCAATAATAAAAGTGATTACACTGGCTTTGTGAGCTTATTTTAAGTTAAAACTTACATTATTAGATCACATTCATTGAGGTAAATAAGATAAAACATTTATATACATTAGCTAGATTACATTTTAATATATTTTTAATATTATTACTAATAGTTTTTATGATTTCTACACAATGAGTCTTTTTATTCATTATGTTGCCAACATGTAGTGAGGATAAATCCAGACTCATTCTGCTTAGTTGTTCTAAGTAAACCCTGTTAGTCATTTTCTTTTCATTTAAAACCAACGTTTAGAAATGTTTTTAATTGATTTGACTGAACCTGTAGCATCGCTCTGCCTCCGAGCGTTTCATAGAAAAGGTTTTATTTTCACATCACCAACATTCCTTCATTCATGATTTCCTCTCATTTCTGTTGATTTTAGTTTGATCTGGCTTTATTAATCCAGTCCAGAGTCTCTCTGACTTGAAGTCATTCGGCTGTGAATCTCCTCGTTTCTTAGATAAAATAACCAAAAAAATAATCATTTTCCAGATATTCCTTAGCTTGGCTGCAGTTAATGCTTGTGGAGAGAAGATCAGGACGAGCTGAATGTGTGGGATGCTTCTGGGCTTCGTCTAATTTTCGTTTTTGACCTTTTGAATGAAAACCTGATTAAAACGCATCGTGTTGAGTGTTTCCCTCTCTCCTCACAGGGACTTTGAGGAAGACTCGTCTTCTGACTGGATGGATGAGATTGAGAAAATGTGTTTGGAACACTAAACTACACTCAGACTGCCGACGTCGTTGTTCTTCACGTTCATAAAAATACACTAACATTTTAACAAGAAAAGAGAGTTTTACGCAGTGTAAAAAGGCTGTTTGGTGAAATAACTTAATTTTGGTGGCTCAGTGGGTCTGTAACCCTGAGGGTTTCAGGTTTGAGCCCAGGAAGTGTTAAACAACCTGACAGTGGCAACCTCTGAAGAAGGAAGCAGCCAAAACAAAAACACTGATGGTTTAAACAGAACATCAGCAATAGATTTCTCTGAAGGCTGAAGGTCATTATGGAAGATTGATTGGAAAAACAGGAAACACTAAACCGGGCCTGTGTCTTCTTTTTTTCTTTTTCTTTTTTTTTTTTTGAAGTTCATTTCCTCTTTGATATCAAAGTAGACTAAACATGCTCAGTCCTTTATTCTGTTTGTCTTTCATGCTTTCAAAGAGACCCAACTAACCCTCCATCCGGCCCTTTGTCCTGTGAGGTAACAACCTGTTGTTTTTGAAATGTGCTTTATAAATAAATGGGACTTGATTTGACTCGATTTGTTGTACTTTTACACAGTAAAGGATTTTTACCACTAGATGGTGCTGCAGCTACTGATGAGAACAACAAATAATAATAAAGGACAAAGATACTCAAAACATAAACCTCTGACTAAAACATTTTTATTAATCAGTTAATCAAACTTTATTGCATATTTATATGTATTAATATTTGTGAGTATTTTAGATCCGAGGTTCACAAAATGGGGTCCCAGGACCCCCAGGGGTCCACGAGCTATACCTTGGGGGTCCTCAAAAGTTTTCAATAAATTGTTAATTTGATTTTAATTTTTTAATGCATATGGGGCATAATACACTAGTGAAAAAATATACTAAACCAATATATATCCTATATATATA